TTGATCTTATCTCTAAAAATCACTTGGTCTCCAAGCTACTTTGTGAACAAGGCAAAAGACTAGGCAAAAGACTTGTACTCCAAGTCACTTAATATTTATCTCCTCCTTATCTTTCCTATATATGTCATTTTGTTTCATTGTAAAGAGAGAAGAGAGAACAAGAACAGAAAATCTCTTGTCGGGAACATATTGGTTTACACAAATATGTGAGTTGCATCCGGTGTCGTAGCATCGGGTTCACGATCGTGCAACGGAGGGAGGCGGGACGGATCCGTTACAACGGGTTTTGATTGGTCCGGGCTCAAAGGACGCCCCGATCACGAGGGATCGTGACCGGTCTGGAGATTCCTGGCAACACCGGTCACGGGCTATACGGCCGGTGGCGGGTCGATGTATTCGTTTTCGATTTCGGACGATTCGGTTCTCTTGATGTAACTTTCAATCTAGCAGGCAAGCATACATATTTTTCTCGACCAAAAACTTTAAAATATACATATTACCTGTGGATTTTGAGTTCCATGAAGTTTCTCGATTTTGAATTCACATGTTCTGGGTACGACACACAATGAAGAGTTGTTTCGGACATCTTCCAATCTAGTACGGGAACTAATGTTTTTCTCTCGGTCATTTTCTCCAGAAGGGGTACATTACTTATGGATATTTGATCCAAAGTATTTCCTGAAACATTTAAACTTCAATCGGTTAGTAATAAGTATTTGATGTACCTTTATGTCTATTTCTTCCAATCCACTCCGTTCCTTGATTTGTTTTTCTCGCCCATTTTCATCTCAAGTCAATTACACGAAGTTAAGATCGGTGGTACGGTGACAGCTCTTTTGGTGTTGCAATCGTCATATCTTTCAATCTATTCTGATGTCGGGCACATCTTTCTCGATCATATGCTCTAAAAGAAGCATATTGCTGATGGATTTTGAATCTCTAGAGATTCTGATGATGTCGACTTCCATCGTTCAGTAAGGCTCATATGGAACGGATAACAATATCTTGCAAATGGCTCCTTCATTGAAAATTCTGTCTCGCCCATTACTCATGAAAATTCAAGTTAACAATGAATACTCAATCACAGATAATTTGATCGGACAGATAGTGTTGTTTAGAATACTTTTACATTAGAAACTTACAATATTTTACAAGTAACTTTCAACTTTGTCGTAGATCGAACATATTAGATTTGAGGAAAATTTGAAGATAACAACACTATTGCAAATCAAAGTGATATATTAGACACAAAACGGTTTAAATTTTTTTTAAAAAACTAAAGATGATGGATTGATTTTGTTTTTGTTATAATGAGAACGTTCGTGGATGCTTTCAATCTGAAATGGAACGAGGAGTGTACTTGCGAAGATCTATGATCTTTAAATGGTGATAACAATAGGTGTTTTCAATAAATTGGCTTAGCCCATCAACCTTCACTTTGGGCTTATTGCCCGCCAATTTTCCTATTGAGCTTCAAGTGTAGTTGGACTTGTGCAAAGCTTTCCTTGATCTGCCCTAAATCGCTAGATAAAAATGTCATCTCCATCTTCCTCAGTATACTCCTATTTATTTCATTGGTGCAAGCTTCATCATGGAAGGTCATCTTTACTGGTGCTTCGTGTCAGCCGCTACGCTTCCTATCCATGGAGTCTTAATTCACTAAATTTCTCCTTTATGGAGAGATCATCTCGAAAACTTCTTTCCTCACGAGAGATAATTCCTGCAAATTTGTTCATTTGTATAGAGATCGTCCCTGCGAACATCCTCTTTTATGAAGAGATCGATACAAATTATTGTCTTTTTTATGAAGATATGGACTCCATCATTAGCCTCCGTTTTGGAGAAATTTGTTGTAGACTCTACTTTTGTTCTACCCGTACGAATAATTCTTAGTCACGAGTTGGTCACCGTATTGAGTTTATGGACTCAAATGGCCAATACGAGGTTAAGAAAAAATGACACTTCGTCGCCACCGAATCGTGTGAGTCACCAAAAACAAATGGTTGACTAAATATGTTAGAGTCAACATAGTTTCTCGAGCAAATCTAATAGTGTAGGTAGTTTATTTAAATTTTATTAGCGTTGAAATTAAAAAAAATGTGATCAAGTCTGAAGATGTTTGCAAAATAAGTGATCATTAAACTTGACATACAAAATCAAGTACTTCTAACAGAAACAAGGATGTTGGAAAGCTTTTTATATTGTTTTTAGTCTTTTTTTATTAATTTAAAAATACACTTATGTAATTTTGATGATTTGTAAAATATAATAATTATATATAAATTCAATTTAATAAATTCTACAAAATTTTTATAAATATATAAATCGAATTACATACATTTATACAGCAAAAAATATATGTTACATCGTAATATAAAATAACATTAACATGTGCTACAATAAAATATATACAAGCATTAGATTACCGGTATAATAGAACGAACTATTATAGCATGTAAAAAAATACAATTGTATTGGGTGATCCTATTATAGTTGCGGCGGACATAGAGTTTATAAAAACGCTATTAAACACTTATTATACCGTTTTTCGTGTAATATCAATAAGCATTTTTCTTGTAATGTATAAAGTCTGTATCTAGCTTAAATTTAATATCAAATTGAGATAAGAAATATATTTTGATTTTTCCGAATATTTTACCCACCCTTGCGAGACTTGTTATATTTGAAAGCTATCACTTTGCATATGTTTCTTCAATTTATGTCGAATGATGAATAAATAATGTAAACTTTTCAATGGCTCTGGATTCTTTATTACCAAAAATAAAATAGTATCTGTTTTATAATGGTCACAATCAAATTACAAAAACGCATAAACACATTAGTATGAGAGAATATTAGTTTACAGCTCGAAAGAGATCGGAGCACCAATTTTGCTGCCAACTCTACGGATACAATCGTTCCATGCCTTTTTACTTTTTGGAATAGCCTTAGATGCAATATTTTTATAGTCTTTTGTAGAGAATATGATTTTAACCATCGCGAGATGGCAATCTTTGCCAGTATTCAATACATCACGACAACATTCATCTGTCACTGGTGTCGTCTCATCCAACATGTTGTTGAAAATCTCATCTTCGCATTTGGGACTCGGCTTTTTAGGGCAAGCAAGAATATAGTCTTTATGCAAATGGTGAGCAAGCTCTATCTCAGATTCCGTTGTAGGTGAATCAGCTACTTCCAATGGAGTTGGAGATATGTCTGCTTCTTCTGGTATCCCTTGTGAATATGTATCAGTTTTTTGGGAATAAATTGGACGAGCCATGGAAAACATTACTATGCATACGAGCATTACCATGAGAAGAGACTTTGCCATATTTGCTTTTGGTTTTGGATGTAAGATTGGTGACATTAAATAAGAAAACAAGAGATTTTATAGGACAATCGATGAGGATGCTTAATTGATAAAACGTTTATGCATTAATAGTTTTATGTTACAAACCTCATAAACCTCAACATTTAATAGTTTTGTTTAGAATACGTTTACATTAGAAACTTATAATATTTACAAGTAACTTTCAACTTTGTCTTGGATCGAACATATTAGATTTGAGGAAAACTTTAAGAAAACAACACTCTCTTCTCCTTCAGTTTATTACAAATCAAAGTGATATGTTAGACACAAACAAATAAAAAAAATATAAAAAAGTTTATAGATGGTGGATTGATTTTTTTATGTTATAATGAGAACGTTCGTTACCAAAAACCGCCATCTCCATCTTCCACCTACAGCTCTGGTTGCCTCAGCCTACTCCGATTTATTCAACTGAAGCAAACTTTCTCTTCGTCATGGAAGGTCTTCTTTACCGGTTCTTCGTCTCAGACGCTACCCTTCCAATCTATGGAGCCTTAATTCACAAACTTCCTTTAAGGAGAAATCATTCCCGAAACTTTTTCCCTCCAAAGTGGTCATTCCTGCAAAAAATTTCTCTTGTGGTGAGATCATTTCTGCAAACTTCCCTCTTTTATGAATAGATCGATACAAATTATTGTCTTTTTTATGAAAATATGGAATCCATCATAAGCCTCCGTTTTCGAGAGATTATGTTTGTAATAAGCTCTATTTTTGTTCTACATGTACAAACGATTATTGGTCACCAGTTGGTTATCGTATTAAGTTTATAGACTCAAATGGCCAAAACAATGTTAAGCCAAAATGACACTTCATCGCCACAATGTCTGAGTCAGCGAAAATAAATGGTTGATTAATTATGTTAAAGTTAACGTAGTTTCCCGATCAAATCTAATAGTGTAGGTAATTTATTTAAATTTTATTAGCGTTGAAATTATAAAAAAAAAACGTGATTAAGTCTAAATATGTTTGCAAAATGAGTGATCGTTAAACTGAACATATTGAATCAAGTAGTTCTAAAAGAAACAATGATGTTGGAAAGCTTTTTATAATGTTATGTAAGACTTGTTTTGATTAATGTAACACTATCTTTATTTAATTTTGATGATTTGTAAAATATAAAAATTACATATAAATTCTATTTAATAAATTCTAGAAAAAGTGATTTAACTATATAAATTAAATATCAACCGAAATACATATATTTATACAGCGAAAGATATATGTTATTACATAATAACATGTGCTAAAATAAAATATATGAAAGCATTCGATTACCGCTATAATAGAATGTCAATAAAATGTAATTGTATGGGGTGATCCTATTATAATTGCGGCTAACATAGCGTTCACGAAAACGCTATTAAACATCTATTATACTGCTCTTTGTGTAATATCAATGTGCATTTTTCTGGTAATGTATAAAGTCTGGATAGAACTAAAATTTCATATCGAATTTAGATAAATTTTTTATTTTGAATTCCAAACATTTTACCCACTCTTGCGAGAATATGTTATATTTGAAAGTTATCACTTTGCATAGGTCTCTTCAGTTTATGTTGGACTCATTCGAAATATGAATAAATAACTTAAAATTTTGCATGGCTTTGGATTATATATTACCAAAAATAAAATGGTTACTATTTTATAATGGTGACAATCAAATTACAAAAACGCATAGATACATTGGCACGTGAGAATATTAGTTTACGGCTCGAAAGAGACCGGAGCACCAATCGTGTTGCCAACTCTACGGATACAATCGTTCCATGCCTGTTTACTTTTTGGAATAGCCTTAGATGCAATATTTTTATAGTCATATGTAGAGAATATGATTTTTACCATTGCGAGATGGCAATCTTTGCCAGTATTCAAAACATCACGACAACATTCATCTGTCACTGGCGTCGTCTCATCCAACATGTTGTTGAAAATCTCATCTTCGCATTTGGGACTCGGCTTTTTAGGGCAAGCAAGAATATAGTCTTTATGCAAATGGTGAGCAAGCTCTATCTCAGATTCCGTTGTAGGTGAATCAGCTACTTCCAATGGAGTTGGAGATATGTCTGCTTCTTCTGGTATCCCTTGTGAATATGGATCAATTTTTTGGGAATAAATTGGACGAGCCATGAAAAAAATTACTATGGATAGGAGCATTATGATGAGAAGAGACTTTGCCATATTTGCTTTTGGTTTTGGATGTAAGATTGGTGACATTAAACAAGAAAACAAGAGATTTTATAGGACAATCGATGAGGATATTTAATTGATAAAACGTTTATTCATTAATAGTTTTATGTTACTGACTTCATAAATCTCAATATTTAATAGTTTTGTTTAGAATACGTTTACATTAGAAGCCTATAATATTTTTACAAATAACTTTTGACTGTGTCTGGGATCATACATATTAGATTTGAAGAAAGCTTGAAGATAACAATGCTCCATTTTTTTTCAATTTATTACAATCAAAGTTATACATTAGACACAAAACAATTAAAAATAAAAGTAAAATAAAAATATATAAGGATGGATTGTTTTTGTTTGATTATATTGACGGCGTTCGTAGACACTTTTAATCTGAAATGGAACGAGCAGTGTACTTGCGAAGATCTATGATCCTTACATGATGATAATCGATTCTCAAACTTCCTCATTTTATAAAAAGATCAATCACTAAAACTTTTTCTCTCATGGAGTGATCATTCCCACAAAATTTCTCCTTTATGGAGAGATCTTCCCTAAAAACATTCTCTTTTATGAAGTTATCGATTCATATTATTTTTACTTTTATGAAGAAGATATTGAATCCATCATTAGCCTCCAATTTGGAGAGATTTATTTTTTAAGCTCTATTTATGTTCTAGCTCTTTGAGCTATATTATTAATCACGAGTTGGTTACCGTGTTGAGTTCATGCAACTGACCAAAATGACGTCTTAGTCAGCGAAACAAATAGTTGACTAATTATTTTAAAATCAATGTAGTTTCACGCTCAAATTCAATAATTTAGATAGTTTATTTAAATTTTTTTAGCTTTTAAGTTAAAAAAAAAGCACGATATCTTTCTTGAGCTATAAAAACACATTGCACGGTTATTTTGGATTGTAATACATAGTTTTCTCCTTTTTAATTATATTCATGTTAGAACCCCTCATTTTAGGCTTTGATATAATGCAATGTTTGAATAAAATAAAAAATACTTATACGTTTGTGCATGCCTTTTTAACATGCTCTGCACGGGAGGAAGAAATGGCTTTAAGTTTTTCAATTAAAATTAAAATAGTTTTTAAACTTGGGACGAAATAGAACGAACTATTATAGCATGTAAAAAAATGCAATTGTATTGGGTGATCCTATTATATTTGCGGCGGAAATAGAGTTTATAAAAACGCTATTAAACACTTATTATACCGTTTTTCGTGTAATATCAATAAGCATTTTTCTTGTAATGTATAAAGTCTGTATCTAGCTTAAATTTAATATCAAATTGAGATAAGAAATATATTTTGATTTTTCCGAATATTTTACCCACCCTTGCGAGACTTGTTATATTTGAAAGCTATCACTTTGCATATGTTTCTTCAATTTATGTCGAATGATGAATAAATAATGTAAACTTTTCAATGGCTCTGGATTCTTTATTACCAAAAATAAAATAGTATCTGTTTTATAATGGTCACAATCAAATTACAAAAACGCATAAACACATTAGTATGAGAGAATATTAGTTTACAGCTCGAAAGAGATCGGAGCACCAATTTTGCTGCCAACTCTACGGATACAATCGTTCCATGCCTTTTTACTTTTTGGAATAGCCTTAGATGCAATATTTTTATAGTCTTTTGTAGAGAATATGATTTTAACCATCGCGAGATGGCAATCTTTGCCAGTATTCAATACATCACGACAACATTCATCTGTCACTGGTGTCGTCTCATCCAACATGTTGTTGAAAATCTCATCTTCGCATTTGGGACTCGGCTTTTTAGGGCAAGCAAGAATATAGTCTTTATGCAAATGGTGAGCAAGCTCTATCTCAGATTCCGTTGTAGGTGAATCAGCTACTTCCAATGGAGTTGGAGATATGTCTGCTTCTTCTGGTATCCCTTGTGAATATGTATCAGTTTTTTGGGAATAAATTGGACGAGCCATGGAAAACATTACTATGCATACGAGCATTACCATGAGAAGAGACTTTGCCATATTTGCTTTTGGTTTTGGATGTAAGATTGGTGACATTAAATAAGAAAACAAGAGATTTTATAGGACAATCGATGAGGATGCTTAATTGATAAAACGTTTATGCATTAATAGTTTTATGTTACAAACCTCATAAACCTCAACATTTAATAGTTTTGTTTAGAATACGTTTACATTAGAAACTTATAATATTTACAAGTAACTTTCAACTTTGTCTTGGATCGAACATATTAGATTTGAGGAAAACTTTAAGAAAACAACACTCTCTTCTCCTTCAGTTTATTACAAATCAAAGTGATATGTTAGACACAAACAAATAAAAAATATATAAAAAAATTTATAGATGGTGGATTGATTTTTTTATGTTATAATGAGAACGTTCGTTACCAAAAACCGCCATCTCCATCTTCCACCTACAGCTCTGGTTGCCTCAGCCTACTCCGATTTATTCAACTGAAGCAAACTTTCTCTTCGTCATGGAAGGTCTTCTTTACCGGTTCTTCGTCTCAGACGCTACCCTTCCAATCTATGGAGCCTTAATTCACAAACTTCCTTTAAGGAGAAATCATTCCCGAAACTTATTCCCTCCAAAGTGGTCATTCCTGCAAAAAATTTCTCTTATGGTGAGATCATTTCTGCAAACTAGCCTCTTTTATGAATAGATCGATACAAATTATTGTCTTTTTTATGAAAATATGGAATCCATCATAAGCCTCCGTTTTCGAGAGATTATGTTTGTAATAAGCTCTATTTTTGTTCTACATGTACAAACGATTATTGGTCACCAGTTGGTTATCGTATTAAGTTTATAGACTCAAATGGCCAAAACAATGTTAAGACAAAATGACACTTCATCGCCACAATGTCTGAGTCAGCGAAAATAAATGGTTGATTAATTATGTTAAAGTTAACGTAGTTTCCCGATCAAATCTAATAGTGTAGGTAATTTATTTAAATTTTATTAGCGTTGAAATTATAAAAAAAAAACGTGATTAAGTCTAAATATGTTTGCAAAATGAGTGATCGTTAAACTGAACATATTGAATCAAGTAGTTCTAAAAGAAACAATGATGTTGGAAAGCTTTTTATAATGTTGTGTAAGACTTGTTTTGATTAATGTAACACTATCCTTATTTAATTTTGATGATTTGTAAAATATAAAAATTACATATAAATTCTATTTAATAAATTCTAGAAAAAGTGATTTAACTATATAAATTAAATATCAACCGAAATACATATATTTATACAGCGAAAGATATATGTTATTACATAATAACATGTGCTAAAATAAAATATATGAAAGCATTCGATTACCGCTATAATAGAATGTCAATAAAATGCAATTGTATGGGGTGATCCTATTATAATTGCGGCTAACATAGCGTTCACGAAAACGCTATTAAACATCTATTATACTGCTCTTTGTGTAATATCAATGTGCATTTTTCTGGTAATGTATAAAGTCTGGATAGAACTAAAATTTCATATCGAATTTAGATAAATTTTTTATTTTGAATTCCAAACATTTTACCCACTCTTGCGAGAATATGTTATATTTGAAAGTTATCACTTTGCATAGGTCTCTTCAGTTTATGTTGGACTCATTCGAAATATGAATAAATAACTTAAAATTTTGCATGGCTTTGGATTATATATTACCAAAAATAAAATGGTTACTATTTTATAATGGTGACAATCAAATTACAAAAACGCATAGATACATTGGCACGTGAGAATATTAGTTTACGGCTCGAAAGAGACCGGAGCACCAATCGTGTTGCCAACTCTACGGATACAATCGTTCCATGCCTGTTTACTTTTTGGAATAGCCTTAGAAGCAATATTTTTATAGTCATATGTAGAGAATATGATTTTTACCATTGCGAGATGGCAATCTTTGCCAGTATTCAAAACATCACGACAACATTCATCTGTCACTGGCGTCGTCTCATCCAACATGTTGTTGAAAATCTCATCTTCGCATTTGGGACTCGGCTTTTTAGGGCAAGCAAGAATATAGTCTTTATGCAAATGGTGAGCAAGCTCTATCTCAGATTCCGTTGTAGGTGAATCAGCTACTTCCAATGGAGTTGGAGATATGTCTGCTTCTTCTGGTATCCCTTGTGAATATGGATCAATTTTTTGGGAATAAATTGGACGAGCCATGAAAAAAATTACTATGGATAGGAGCATTATGATGAGAAGAGACTTTGCCATATTTGCTTTTGGTTTTGGATGTAAGATTGGTGACATTAAACAAGAAAACAAGAGATTTTATAGGACAATCGATGAGGATATTTAATTGATAAAACGTTTATTCATTAATAGTTTTATGTTACTGACTTCATAAATCTCAATATTTAATAGTTTTGTTTAGAATACGTTTACATTAGAAGCCTATAATATTTTTACAAATAACTTTTGACTGTGTCTGGGATCATACATATTAGATTTGAAGAAAGCTTGAAGATAACAATGCTCCATTTTTTTTCAATTTATTACAATCAAAGTTATACATTAGACACAAAACAATTAAAAATAAAAGTAAAATAAAAATATATAAGGATGGATTGTTTTTGTTTGATTATATTGACGGCGTTCGTAGACACTTTTAATCTGAAATGGAACGAGCAGTGTACTTGCGAAGATCTATGATCCTTACATGATGATAATCGATTCTCAAACTTCCTCATTTTATAAAAAGATCAATCACTAAAACTTTTTCTCTCATGGAGTGATCATTCCCACAAAATTTCTCCTTTATGGAGAGATCTTCCCTAAAAACATTCTCTTTTATGAAGTTATCGATTCATATTATTTTTACTTTTATGAAGAAGATATTGAATCCATCATTAGCCTCCAATTTGGAGAGATTTATTTTTTAAGCTCTATTTATGTTCTAGCTCTTTGAGCTATATTATTAATCACGAGTTGGTTACCGTGTTGAGTTCATGCAACTGACCAAAATGACGTCTTAGTCAGCGAAACAAATAGTTGACTAATTATTTTA